AAATGCAACGCAATGTTTTCACAGCATGAATTTGAATAGTTGAAGTTGTGCTCATTCAAAGGGCTAAATGACTTTAAAATATTCATTCATTTTCTGCAACTGCTTATTCTGGTACAGGGTCGCCAACGGGGGGGCTGGAGCCTATCCCAGCTGACACTGGGCGAGCAGCGTGGTACACCCTGGACAGACTGCCTGACTACCACAGGGCTGACTTAAAACAGGTCAGTTATTTTTTTATAATGAAGATTTTGTTTGTTTTACTTGCACAAAATGGGGAATAAATGCCAACAAAAACTAATTAAACAACAACAGTATCAATATCAGCTATCAGCCAAAGTGTTATTTTAAACATCCACACCAACCCAGAATTTCACAACTGGTGCATCCCTACCAAGCTTGCTTCCTGGAAACATTTACCCTTACGGTTGATTCATGATTTCTTATGACTCATTAACAGACACTAACTTATCAAACAGGATTAAAATTAACGTCATGTAAAGTGAATTACATGATGTTTCCCAGATAATGCTCGTCAGCCTTGATGACGCAGTTTCCACATTTCTACAACTGCTGATTTATTAGATCACAGTTCTACAGAGTGAAACATGACGGCAAACTGAGCAGAAGACCTCATTTTATTAATCCTGAGGGAAATTTGGGCGATTGCAATTGTAAATTATTGTAATTATTTTAAAGATAATGCAGATACAGACTGAGCAATACAGGTTAAGAATGCAGTCAGACAGGGAGGGACAGGGATATTATTAAGTGACGCTGACTGACAGACCTGTCATATCAGGTGTCATTTACTTCCACAAATTTTTTTATTTAATGCTTCTCCACTATGTCTCCTGAAACTCTCCTGGTTTTATTTGTGTGAAAACGTAGTGTATGCATTCATGTCCAAATACAGCTGAGGATGATGGGAACGTCATAAGTTTTGCAGGTAATAGCTGGTAAGTGTCTGACAAATTGATCAATCTGGAATCTGACTGCTCAGTTGACTGACAGAAACGTTGTAGTTAACAGCAAACACAGTTTAGATTTAAACATTTTCATCACTATAATTAAAGGATTGTGGGTCCAACCCTATTGGCTTATGTAACTGTCCGTCATAACAAGCTTGATATTAATTTTGAGGTTGTAAGCGGTCGGCAGGTTGTGGACACAACGTTTGCTCTGGACCATAGTGATAAGATAGCAAGGTCCGATCTGCAATCTGAAGTGATTGGATTAATATTTCTGTGTGTCTGAGGATGTTGCTCATTATCAGGCAGCTTCACAGTAATGACTGGACTGTGTAAACACCAATACACACACACAAAGCAGTGGGGAATTAGGGAGGTGTTAGACATTCAAACAGTGATTGCTTCATCAGCGTAAGAGGCAGAACAACAGAGCAGATGTTTAATGAATAGCTGATGGGTGCGATCAATATGAATGAATGAGGAAAGAAGAGCCGATCGCTTAGTAACCGCACGTATTGATGCTGTCACCAAATGATAATGACATTGACAGTCACTGTAAAGCTAAGGCAGCACTCCTGACATGGCTCACCTTTCATGAGTGCTGCTCTCTCAGTGAGGTCAGAGGTCAACAAAGAAACTTGAAGAATAACTTAAGGTGTTTTGTGCAACTAGCCCCAGAGAAGTAAGTCTTAAACCTGTATAAAGTCTGAAGCTGCTCCATAGACAACAAATGGGAGCCTGATTTTGTGGACCTACTAAATGTTTTGTTTCGTTTTTTTTATATCCAAATGATCTTCAGTCTATTGTAGTGCTTTAAGCTCTGAAACAGAAAATGGACCCATATACTCAGAGCATTCCTCTCGGCCATCTGTAACATCTTTAACCATCCATTGTCTATGGAGCAGCTCCAGGCTTTATGCCCTATGACATCACACATTTGACATTTAGCACTTGGATTAGGAAGGACTAATATTTTTATTAAAAATAACTTTTATACTGAGCGAGAGGTTTTAAGATTGAAAAATAAACTTGTTAGTTTTCTGGTAGACACTGGGACTTATTTATTTATTTTTTATCCTAACTATCTATTACCGGTACATCTTTCTGAGGTGTACTGGTACGAGAGGACCAAGCCAGTTTCTGCAAACCTGCACATACATGTTGTGGATTGCTTGTTTAAATCTTTATGAATGCCACCTGTTCATGAGAAGGTACACGTTTGTGAGATCCCATCATTTACATAAGGTTGCTTGCACACCGAATCTATGTAACCTACTGTACTGTGTAATTTACTGACATGTCTTGTTACTTATCAGCTGACACATATACTGATACCAACATATCTTTAATAAGATAAACTAATAAGCTGTTGTCCGGAGAGATTTATTAGTCTGATTTAATGAGATTTCAGAGACTAGTCAACATGGCAGTAACTTATTAACCAGCATTTCCTGCTGTTACTTGTTGTTTTTGACAGATAGTGTCCACAATACAAAATATTCTTACAGTTATGTATTAAAGTATTTATTGCTCACAGCTATAATAAGAATGAAGCCTTTACTTAAATTCTTTTGCTGATCTGGTGGAAGCCTCACTATACAACATAAGAAATGGGCTTTCCAGGCCTGCTGTTGACTGGTGCAGATGGTGACAACAGCAGTACATCGAGTGACAGGAGGATTACAGTGTGGACAGATGGCAGCCGTGGGGCTGAAGCCAATGTGGGGAAATACAGCAGGTGATCAGAGCAATATGGTGGAGAAAATGACCTGCAAGAACACAGTCTGAGCCCTCAAAGTTTCCTTATTCAGGGAGCAGCTCAGGACCAGCTGTAGCACTGTAATTTGCAACAACATTTAAAACCAGTCTGAATTTATACAAAGTGCTTTTTTCTTTGCTGCGAGCTTTTATAATAAAAATGCCATTTTATCCACAACTTTCTCTTATCCTGGCTCCACAGGCTCCCAGTAAATCATTACCCAAAACTACCATGTACTCTTGTTGCTTTATCTTAGCAATGTTTTTTTTTCCCTTTGTCCTAAGGCAAAGCATGTGACGCTCTGCCCGTGTCCTGTGATGAGGCGGTTTTGAATCCAGGTCATGATCTGATGACACAACCTACTTCCATCTCTATCGCGGCTAATTCCTACTGTATCTTGAGGCAGTACAAAAAACAACACACAAAGTGTATGAGTTCACTGAGAGCTCCACAAAACCAAACACTGTTAAATAAATCACCACAGAATGAGTTATACTTTCTGGTTTGCTCAAGAAACAACACACCAGCTCCTTCCCTCAAAAATAATCGCTAACAGCGACAGCATGTGTGACAAAATGAAATCTTACAGAGATTCATTCAGTGATCTGGAGGATCATAGTTAACACATAGGACTTGGATTCAAGCTCCCCTGCTGTACTGGGGTGAACAACATCATAATTATAACAGTACAATAAAGATAATATAGCTGCTTATGCCCTCTTCACACTTTTGGGGGGAACTGGACTTCCTGTCTGCAAATATATTAAAGAGTAACTAAACCACCAAACCCATTTTTTTCCAGTTGAAAACCAGTGTACATTAGTATTTAATAGTGTTGTTGATGGATTCAGGTACACACTTGATATTTTAGTGCAAAGTATTTGAGTTATGTTTGAAATATGCACATCAATTGTCTTCTACTGGCTGACACTTGGCTACTGCATTGGCTTGGATGCGCTGGTGGCAACTTTCGTCACCAACACGTCAAGTTACTCTGTGACTTCACTGGTATTTCATTAAGGGCATAATGTGCTAAATGCTGAGGCCACAGGACTACTTCTTGCTAACAATAGCTAAACTTCCTCCTTTGTATCAAGTGGGACAGGCACATCCCTGAATGAGGAGGAGCTGCCAGTGACTCAGAGAGTGTTGAAAGAACATGAACAAAAAGAAGTATCTAATAGGAATCTGTGCCAACATTAGCGAGCTAGGCTAACTAGGTACCACTTTGTGGAGGAGAGATAGTTAGTAAGTTTAGATAGCTTCTACTTTCCGAGTGGAATACAAACTTAACAGCACGATGGGTCCTCCTAAAAGCTGAAGGGACAGAGAGTTTTAATTACTGATGGTTGATAGCTGACACTAAATGAGCTTGTTGTAAGTTGTTAGAGTATAAACTGAAACAACCCATTAGCACGAAGTATCAAAACATCTTCAGTCAGACGATACCTGCTTTCAATCCGTTTTACGCCAGGGGTCTGAGCTTGTCATATAAGCAAACTTTCTGTTGCTGCCTTCTTCGGAGCCACTCTACTCTCTATATCAGCTCAATGTTTTGATATTGAAATTAAAAACTAAACAAAGAATCACTCAAGAGGACGTCAATATATCATCTTCCTGTTTTCAACAGTTATCGTGAATGGATGACCCTTTAAGGGTCACACGTTAATTCAAAACACTCTTAGAATGAGCTAACATAGCAGCAGTGGCTAACATCCAACACAGATATGCTAAACAGTCTGAGCAAACACATGCCAACACTAAAAAACAGCTTGACTCTGTCGTTATGTGTGATGCTAACAGTTAGCCCTGTTAGAGCGTGAGTGCGCTCAGGCAGACTCGCATGACTGTCTACGGTGCAGAGCTCACACTCCTGCAGCAGCAGCTACAAACCATGCAGTCTGAAGTGTAGTGAAGTCAAACACAGTGTATTGACAGACATGGCGTACTGAGATGCGACCAAAACATTTGAAAGTATGGCTACACTACACGCCACTCCAATTACATTATAGATTTTGAAGGAAGTACTCTATTGGTATTACTATTACTTTATGGGTATTGGTAACAATTTTTGGGCATTATTTTACAACCAAAAGTTGCCACAATGTCTTCTATCATCACCATCTCTTAGATTTCAGTGTTCCCATAAGAAACATCAAGCATTTGGGCTGAATATTTGAAGTCTGATTATATTTGCTTACGCAAAAAGTAAGGAGAATTAAAAAGTCAGTGACTTTAAAATCAGATGAAGGTAAAACCAACCAGTGACTCACCTGCAGCATACATGACCGCAAGCATGATGGAGGAAATCCATGCGATCTGACTGTAGGAGGCATCGAAGATGAGCTGGATGTCTTTGAAGAAGACTGTGGTGGCCTTGGGGAACGCGTACGAGAAGCCTATGGAGATGAAAGATGCAAGCACCACAGCCCACCCCCAACCGCCGTCTGGTGGGGGCACGGCGGGCGGGTTTGCGGCCGGGGGCGGCATCACTGGCCCACCTCAACGCTGACTATTCACTGCAATGACAGAAAGGAAGGGAGAGAAGAAATTAAAACTTACCACCAGCTTATGTGCTTTTTTCCTCATTGCGGTTTATTTCTTGGATAATGTGTAAATCTGAGAAGTTGTTTAGCGCAAAATGTCACAGGTCATTACCGATGATAAATAGATCATTCAGATGACCAGCTCAAGCTCCTATTGACAGTATACAGACGGCTGTGGGATGACTAGGAAGGTGAAAAGCTTGTCCTCTGTCATTTACATGAACAACTGCCAGCAGTAATATGACACGAGAGGGACAAGGACATGCTAGAGGTCCATATCCTGGAGAAGATGTGCAAACACACACATACACAAAACTTATTATCTGTTCTAAAGAGCATGCATTCACTCCACCTGAGACACCGGACCTGCCCTGCCTAGTATTCACCTTGAGCTTGCCCCCCCCAACCCCTCAGCCCTCACACAATAATGGAAACAGGGTGCGGCTGCCAACTCATAGAAGTGTTTAAACCAGGTGCTGCTGTTTACAAAGCAAACACACCTTAATTACATGCAAAAGCAAGAGTGGCAATTGTCCAGTCACACTTTACTCTGGATTTTTTACAAGCTGACACACACGTACACATCATAGTGCAACACAGGTAGCCGTTGGTGCTCTCTTACTTCATTAGCTTCACCTTTCTAATCAGCCAGGAATAACTTGCAGCTGTGTAATTAGCTCACGTTACAAACGGAGATGAGCCAGTTTGGTGTCACATAAATGAACCGCCAGTGGAAAAATCAACATGTTCAACATCTTTAAATGAGTACTTCCTAATTAACAGCGTCTTAACTTGTTACTGTTGCTGAAATTGGTCAAATTTGTTGCCATATTAAAATACAACCATTATTAATAATGAATAAACAAGTTTCAACCATAAAATATGATCAGGCTTTGTAACTTTTGTGTCGGGGTCAGCTGCAGACTGACTTGGCAGAGATGGCTGCCATCTTGTTTTTACACTGATTAATGTATTATGGTCTTACTGCCACTAGATTGCACAAAAAAGCGTCCACAAAGGAGGACAACAGGTCTTAGTTCAGCAGAGTGAAGTATAAGGTGCAGTAAACCCAGAATGTGATGTCCTCATATGAGGACACAGGGTCTCAGGAGGATATTGTATTCTGTTAAGTGGGTATAGCTGCCGCTGGAGCAGCTACGTGACTCGCTCATCATACCTAAACGATCAGCCACTTTGCCCCTTGGTCTGTAAGTGGAAGCCCTGAAAATGTGCTATGTTTGTTTAGCTAACTATAAAGTGTTAGCTTAGACAGAGGAGATTAAGGTCAGAGTTATACTGAGGGTTATATCTCATTATTTACAAAGTGAATCATGTCTTCATGTATAATGAATTAAGTAAATGAATAAAGTGGATTATTGCTACGTTAGGTCCCATATTTTTTCACTATATGTTGTAGCAGGGTTCAAATATCAAGTTGGAGGGTTTGTCCTGTAAAATGGTAAATGGTCTGCACTTGTATAGCGCTTTTCTAGTCATCGGACCACTCAAACATGTCACATTCACACACACATTCACACACTGATGGCTGAGGCTACCATACATGGTGCCACCTGCTACTCAGTAACCATTCACACGCACTTACACACCAATGGAACAGCCACCATTGGGAGCAATGTGGGGTTCAGTATCTTGCCCAAGGATACGTCCACATGCGGAGCTGGGGATTGAACTGTTGATCTCCTGATTGGTGGACAATGCACTCTACCTATGAGCCACCCTCTTTTCCTTTTTACTTATAGTAGGTGCTAGAGCTGCCCTTAAGTCCATACTGCTGCATGCAGTATGCACACAGTTGGGACATACTACTTCGTAATAAGACTACGCCCTAAACTTTGACCCTCTTGCTTATGTATCTATTATCTTGGAGATAAAACAAAACGTAGTTTGCTGAGCTCACCAAGATGAGATGGAGGTCAACCCAGAGAGCTCTGTTGTTACTTTGCAATATGTAATAACTGCATACGTTGTAGATTCTAACATGTTATGTTCATAATAGAAAAATTAAATAGACTATGCATTTCTCTGTCATTGTTATTTTCATAGCTATGTCCGTTTGTTGTTGGTGATAATTATGATTGTTTTGTTCAATTAAACAATTAATATTCTTATTATCACTGTTTGACTGATCATCAGTTACTTTAATAAGCCGTAATCCGACACTGCGGCTTCTGACAGATTTCAATCAGCTGTCAAGGAGCTATTAAGCTGTCATCTGTTTTCAAACTCAGTTGATGTGACGAATCTTCTGCTGTGCAGAGGACTATGGGTCAGAATAGCCAGAAAAGCATGCTGGCTTGCATACTGCAAAAATCAGACCAGATGTAGTAGAACAGCGTGGTGTTTTTGTCACACTGCATGTATTGGGACATACTACATCTTTTTCTGGCATACTGTAGAGTCAAGATATCACGGTCTCTGCTGCTTCAATGTTGACCCCTTTTTTTTGTAATTTACTTATGTAGGCTATTCCCAAGTGTTATGTAAGAGCTATGCTAAAAGCACTAAACCACTGGAGTGCCCAACTTAACTGGTTTATTTTTATTTTGCAATAATATGTATCATAATGCCTCATCCATAATAATAAAGTTTAAATTTGAAATGCATTTTTTCTTCTCTTTGGGGCATTCACAGTAACAACAAACACAACAAAACATGCTCTCCACTCAAGTGTGATTACAGTGTCAATATACAGTTTTATTGTGGATGATGAAAAAGGATTTGGAAATGCAAATGCTATGTAATTATTTGACTCAATTAATTCATTCAGAAGAATCTCTGTGGCAGCCAAAAGAGCAGGTTGAGTTTTCTGAATGCAAGGCTAAGGTGCTTTGGTCCTTATGTTGCTGACAAATAGGAACCAACACAATACACAGCAGCAAGCTTTGTTTAAGACAAAGCCATCAACGCACTACAAGGGAAATGGACACTTCAGTCTTTACAGTGTCTGTAAATGACCTGTGAACATCCGCTAACGACATCAATAAATGATGTCACTGTCTGTCCTTGTCGGCGCTCTCACCAGATCCAGTTGCACTCACATAGAGTGAGATGTACTCTGAGTGTCAGCAGGACTCCATTAGTGGGATGACTCACACATTTTCCGAACAAATAAATTTGTCACTAGAGTGTTCAGTTTGAGGAAATACGGGAAATAAGCAGGAGCTGCTGACCTGTATGGAGGCCGCAGAGTGCCACCAATATAATTATGAACTTCAAAGTGGGTTTGATTAAATAGGTTTGTTCAAACGATTAGGAATATATATTTGCTTTTAAATGATTTGATTAAAAAAGTGCAGTCATTCAGTTTCTTGTCTTCATTGATGAACTCTGATCTAAAAGTAAAGGAAGCACCGTACACGTTTGTGCTCAAGTAGTCCACACCCAGGGATAACTAGTTTACCCAGTGACTATAAATTAACTAACTCAGACCCTGTGCACAACTTGACTTGACACTACAATGTATTGTATACAGTATACTGTACGATATCAGGGCTGGATTTTGTTTGGGTTTTATTCCAATACCAGTGCTAAAACAATATGAGCAAATACAGGCTACTGTGGACCCAAAACAGAAACGTACCAGGGAACAAGCACCTGACAATTTACAGTGGGACAAAGGCCATTTTGAAAAGATAGGTCTTCAGTTGTTAGTTTAAACTTTCTAAGTAGTCCGCAGACCGTAAACCTAATGGAAGAGAGTTCCATAGCATTGGAGCCACGACTTCAAGGCACAATCACCTTTTGTTTGGAGTCAGGAGTGTGGGACAGCCAGTAGGTCCTGGTCAGGAGACCTAAGAGACCTACTGACGATATATGGATGGAGGAGATCACTGATGTATTCAGGTGCCTGACCGTGGGCTCTATATGTGAGAACAAGTATCTTGGAATGAATCTTGAACCTGACAGGAAGCCAGTGTAAAGAAACTAAAATGGAAATAGGGGTGGGTTGACCTGCTGCACCTGGCTAACAGCCGAGCAGCAGCGTTCTAGATTATTTGAACACAGTTCAAAGATGACTTTCTCAGCAAGTAAAAAGGAGTAGTTCAGTCGGGAGGACAAAAAAGCATGGATAATCATCTCTAGCTCAGGTCGAGACACCACAGACCTGAGCTTTGCAATATTTCTTTGCTGTATAAAACAAGTAGGGGTCAACAGCAGGTAAAGATTCTTAAAATTTGACTGTATAGCTGAAGAAAGGGACCCAATAATGTAGTACTGATCCCTGTACAGTGCCTGAACTGACACTTTGAATTAAAAATAACGCACAAAACGACACTCAAGGGCATTTTAAACTAATTTTTCATTAACAGCGCAAATTTGAACTTGAACAAAATGTTAACTCTTAACAGTATTAAGTACTCTTCAATATTAATCCAAATAAATACAAAATATTTTATAGCTCAGTCCATAGGGACTTGGCTTGGGAAAGGTGCCACTTCACCTCCTGGGCACTGCTGTGGTGCCCTTGAAGAAGACACTGTCCAAAGCAGCCCCCTTTCTCTGACATCTCTCCATTTAATACATGTATAGGTCCTGTTTGTGCATGTTTGCCTAGTTTGGGCCTATGTGTGTATGACAACAGAGTGAAATAAATTGAATTTCCCCGCAGGGATGAATAAAGTAGTATCTTCTTAGCTCGTCAGCCTTTAAAGTCCACCTTAAAAGAGCCTGGTCAGGTTCCAGTAGGCGGCTAACTTCACTCATTAACTTAAGGGCAAACCAGCTTCAATGTAACCACTTTGTGACAAGAACTTGTCTTGGGTCTTGTAGCATTTATTTACAGATAAATAGACTTAGAAAAATCTGTTCACACACTGCAGTGCTATGTTGAACTTTACTCTGCTCTGCTTCACTTCCGGCGGTGCCCCCAGTGTTACACTCCTACCTGCAACTCGAACCAAACGGCAGTAAAAACGTTGCTGCTAATGCCCTTTTTTTCCTGTCATGAGGAG